TTTTGGCTTTCCTTTCCGCCTGGCGAGGCAGCGAGTCCCAAAGATGGCCCCATCTATCACTGACCACAGAAGTTATGGAAAGCTTTCAGGTTCCGAGATCTGATGGATGCTTTCGATCTATCTGGCCACTCTTCCAAATGAATCCATCACAAGTAACAATAATGCATTGGCCACTTTCTGCCTGAGAAGCAATGCTCCGCCAGGCAGAATGGCCTTCGCTCGGCTCCAGCCTGGTGAGACGGTCACATCCATCCGTGGCTCATCCATCATTCGCAAGGCATACCCTCACCCCCCCCCCCCATGCCAGGCTCCAACCTTTTGCTGTGCTTTTGCCTTAATGTCAAGGTGCGTTTTGGCAAAAGAGGTGGGAAGAGAGGGAGCAAAAGGCAGCCAGGTGCCCTGAACGCATAGAGCACAGTTGTGCTCAGGACCACAGATAAGACTCAAATATGGCTCACCACAACCTTAGCTTCAGACCTTACAGTAGAGCAGTGTGAAAAGTATGAGCAAACTGAAAAGAACAGCATTTGGAAAGGATGGGACTCAGGATGCCAAAGTTCACCAAACATGGGTGAACTTTGGCCTTTCCTCCAGGTGTTTTGGACTTCAACTCCCACCCTGATTGTTTTTTGTCTGGAGTTCCCCCGCGTTTGTGTGTTTTATTATTTACTGTTATAACTTCAGAGCTTTTTTAAAAAATACTGGTAGCCAGATTTTGTTCCAAATGCAGCAGCATTGCCCAAACACATACAGCTCAAAAAACCTACAACAACCCAAAGATAGAGAGGTTTGTCATTACGTTCGTGTGACACACTGACACACTGCAGCCAGCATATCCAACGTATCATGACAGACAGTTTGGAAAGCTTTGTCCTACATGTTCTCCCTATGTAAGAGAATGCATGTACTGTGAGTGCTGGACTTGCATTCTAGGGACATTGTGCTGGTACGTCTGTACCAGGAGCTCCAACTTTATTTTCTTTCTATTAAGTGTTTGCATGCATTCCAAAGTTTCAGGGATTCTGCAAAAAGGTGGCTTCCTTTGGTTTCCAGTCATAGGGCAAGCCACCTGTCTATCATTGTTAAGTTTGGATCTGCCCCTTCTCCCAGGGAGATGGGAAGGGAAGAGGGGGCCATTTTAGTTAGTCTTAGTGAGGAAAGCTAAGTTAGAGGACGTGGACAAGCTTCACCTGCAGAAAAGCTTCATTTCTCAAGACATTCCGGGGGGAAATTCCCAAAGCTCTGGCTGGGAGCTTGCGGCCCCTCAGCCTTACAGCATCTGAGGGAAACAGCCCTAAAGTCTTAAAGACATTCCAGAGGGAAAACTGCTTTACAGACCCAAAGAACTCCAGCTGGAGAATCTACAAGCTTTGTCTGGTAGGTTTACTCGGTACCAAGATGCAGTTTGGAACCAGTAGTAGATCCCACACCAACAAAACTTAGATAACAGACAGCCTGGGAGAGGTTAAAAAAGGGTTTTCCTCCCAAAGTATAAGAACAATTAATGAAGACAGTTGCCTGTCCCTTGTGGACAAGATTAAGGAAACCACCAGTTGACTTAAAGCCTTGAAGCATTTGTTTGACTCATTGAAGATTTGAGAAATATCTGTTTAATTTGTTCAATAATAAAGGACTTTGTTTAACCTTTCAAGCTATCTAGAGACCATTTCTTCAAGGAAATCCATGAGGGCCTCTTTCGGGGCACCCTGGCTTCCCGCTGGGCACAAGGTGCACGTCCTATTTCAAAAGACAGTGATTACAGGCCCAGTGCAGGACAGGACAGACATTATCACATGAAGATCCTGAAATGGGTTCTGCTGTCTCAAACCCGTCTTGCTTGACACTGGAGTATGCCTTCCCAGCCTCTCTTTCTACTACACAAAGCATATCTGGAAATGCTTTGAGAATGCGCAAATGGCACTTATCACAAATGCAGGGATGTTGCTTTTCCCAATCTGTGCATTCCCCGTCTTTCTCCACGCTCCCTTCTCCCACTTTTTGCTGCTTTTCAAAGTGTCAGAACTACGAAGCTCTCAGAGTTCAGAAGTTCGAAGGCGCGCGCCTCTGTACTTCCAGCTTTTCACAGTACGGATGCCCCGTTCACATGCGCCCTTAAAATATTAATAGAAATGAGCACTTTGCTTATGTTTATTTGGCAAATGGGAGGGATCGCTGGAACTTTTATAGCTTTCTTCGCAAGGCAAAAGCAGGCACGAGTGGGAAGTTCTGCAAAGTGTTATTGCCTTGCAGGAAAAAGAAACAAACGATGCATGAAAAGGGGAAATTCGTATTAGAGGCTTGGAGAACCACAATTGTTTGGAGTTTGTTCATTTAATTTATTTTAAAAGGAAGCAATTGGGAAAATTGGAAAGAATGGGTTACATTTTTTGCTTTGCAGCCAAGAAGGACAACCCACAACACGGCCATAATGGACATGAACGCTCCCCCCAACAGCAACAACAACAACGACAAAGACCCTCACTGCTGAAGCAGACTTACAATCTGATCTCTTTTTTCGATAGAGTTACAAGCTGGGTAGATGCGGGGAATGCCGTGGATGTAGCGTACCTGGATTTCAGGAAGGCCTTCTTGGACAAGGTCCCCCATGACCTTCTTGCAAGGAAACTAGTCCAATGTGGGCTAGGCAAAACTACGGTGAGGTGGATCTGGAATTGGTTAAGTGGACGAACACAGAGAGTGCTCACTAATGCTTCCTCTTCATCTTGGAAAGAAGTGACAAGTGGAGTGCCGCAGGGTTCCGTCCTGGGCCCGGTCCTGTTCAACATCTTTATTAACGACTTAGATGAAGGGCTAGAAGGCAGGATCATCAAGTTTGCAGACGACACCAAAGTGGGAGGGACAGCCAATAGTCCAGAGGACAGGAGCAGAATTCAAAACGATCTTGACAGATTAGAGAGATGGGCCAAAACTAACAAAATGAAGTTCAACAGTGACAAATGCAAGATACTCCACTTTGGCAGAAAAAATGAAATGCAAAGATACAGAATGGGTGACGCCTGGCTCGAGAGCAGTACGTGTGAAAAAGATCTTGGAGTCCTCGTGGACAACAAGTTAAACATGAGCCAACAATGTGATGTGGCGGCAAAAAAAGCCAATGGGATTTTGGCCTGCATCAATAGGAGCATAGTGTCTAGATCTAGGGAAGTAATGCTATTCTGCTTTGGTTAGACCACACCTGGAATATTGTGTCCAATTCTGGGCACCACGATTCAAGAGAGATATTGACAAGCTGGAATGTGTCCAGAGGAGGGCGACTAAAATGATCAAGGGTCTGGAGAACAAGCCCTATGAGGAGCGGCTTAGGGAACTGGGCATGTTTAGCCTGAAGAAGAGAAGGCTGAGAGGAGATATGATAGCCATGTATAAATATGTGAGAGGAAGCCACAGGGAGGAGGGAGCAAGCTTGTTTTCTGCTTCCCTGGAGACTAGGACGCGGAACAATGGCTTCAAACTACAAGAGAGGAGATGCCATCTGAACATGAGGAAGAACTTCCTGACTGTGAGAGCCGTTCAGCAGTGGAACTCTCTGCCCCGGAGTGTGGTGGAGGCTCCTTCTTTGGAAGCTTTTAAACAGAGGCTGGATGGACCATCTGTCAGGGGTGATTTGAATGCAATATTCCTGCTTCTTGGCAGAATGGGGTTGGACTGGATGGCCCAGGAGGTCTCTTCCAACTCTTTTGATTCTATGATTCTATGATTTACTGCATGTAAGAACCCATTTGGACCGGGCTGTGGCACAGCTAGCTGATAGCCAGCTACATTAAATCAGTACTGACTGAGACGTCATGAATTTGAAGCCAGCCCAGGTAGGAGTGAGCTTCCAACCATTTGTCTAGCTTGCTGTCGACCTTTGCAGTCCAAAAGACAGTTGCACCTGTCAAGTAGGAAATTTAGGTACTGCTTTATGCGAGTAGACTAATTTAACTAATTTACGACGCCATAAAACCTTCCAGCAGCATGCAGAAGAATGCTGCTCTGAGTCCCCTTCAGGGTGAGAAGAGCGGGGTATAAATATGGTAAATAAAGAAAGAAAGAAATACATTCCTATTGATCTGCATGGAACCCCATAGGATACAAGAAACTGCTAACAGTTGGGCAATGAAACAGGAAGGGGAACTCTGATAGTTCCCATCAGGCCCATAGCCAGGATTTTGATTTGGGGGGTGCTGAGTTTGATTGGGGGGGGGCTGAGTGTCTACCCTGGCAAACCTTTTGCATCGTTACCCCAATACCCCATGCATATGGTATATATTGAGCATGGTGATCAGATCATTATATAAATAAACATAACAGTTTAAATAATGCCCCTCTCACGGACCACCATGAGAATTTGGGGGGGGGGGGCTGAAGCCCCCAAAGCCCCCCCAGCTACATGCCTGGTTCCCATCCCACCTGTTTTTCAGCTGGAACCATGGGAGAAAAGCATGTTAGGAAGTAGGAGTTCTGAACAGAACGGCTGGCCGACCATTAATAGTCTAGCTTGCTGTTGACCTATGTGGCCCGAAAGACAGTTACATCTGTCAAGTGGGAAATTTAGGTACCACTTTATTCGGGGAGGCTAATTTAACTAGTTTTATGATGCCATGAAACCTTCCAGCAGCATGCAGAAGAATGAGGAATTACTCCATGAAAGTGCCAGCAGGACTGAAGACCAACAGCTCAAAGGTTCGAATCCAGGGAGAGAGAGGATGAGCTCCCTCTATCAACTCCAGCTTCTCATGCAAGGACATGAGAGAAGCCTCCCACAAGGATGATAAAACATCAAAACAGCCGGGTGTCCCCTGGGCAACGTCCTTGCAGACGGCCAATTCTCTCACACCAGAAGTGACTTGCAGTTTCTCAAGTCGCTCCTGACACGACAAAAATAAATAAAATAATTAATTTCTTGGTATCTAGTTTCTAATTGGGAAATAAAGAGACTAGAAATCCTTTGGCATTGCACCTCAACGGAGCGAGCGGAGTTCCGGAAGCACCCTCACCTGTGCTGCTGGAGATGTTGACGTCAATGCTGATGTCGGAGATGCCGCCGCCTTTCAATGAGGCCACACAGGTGTAGGTCCCAAAGTCCGTGAACTTGAGGTCAATGATGTCCAGGTTGGTGGTTCCGGGGGAGACGTCGGGGTCGGTCTGGGTGATGACCATCCTCTCGGAGCTGCGCAGCGGGCGGCCGTTTTTGAACCAACTGAAGGTGAGCTCCTCCGAAGGGACCGCCTCCACCTGGCAGGAGATCTTCACCTCCCGGCCAATCTGGATGTTGTCATCTTTGTGGTAGGGGTCGGGCGTGATCCAGAAGCGTCCTTTCTTCAAGGCTGGATGAACGAGAGAAACAGGACTGATGTCAATCCGAGACAGCAGCATTTACAGGAGGATTGGCAAAAGGGAGAAGGCAACAGGGGTTATTCTTTCTCAAAGCTAAGACGCTTCAGGATAAGCAAGCATGACACTGAAAAGGAAAATGGGTTCCCTTGGAACTAGAAAGACCAGTATCCACTAATTGCAGTGATGCAAAAGTATCTAAACACATAGAAATTCAAGATATAGGTGATAAATTCAGTGAAACAACAGGAGAGAAGGCAGGAGAGAAGGAGGGAAGGAAGGAGAGAAGGAATGAGAGAAGGAAGGAAAGAAGGAAGAAGGAAGGAGGAAGGAATGAGAGAAGGAAGGAAAGAAGGAAGGAAGGAGAGAAGGAGAGAAGGAATGAGAGAAGGAAGGAAGGAAGGAGAGAAGGAGAGAAGGAATGAGAGAAGGAAGGAAAGAAGGAAGGAAGGAGAGAAGGAGAGAAGGAAGAAGGAAGGAAGGAGAGAAGGAATGAGAGAAGGAAGGAAAGAAGGAAGGAAGGAAGAGAAGGAGAGAAGGAAGAAGAAGGAAGGAAGGAGAGAAGGAAGGAGAGAAGGAAGGAAGGAAGGAAGGAAGGAAGGAAGGAAGGAAGGAAGGAAGGAAGGAAGAGGAAGAGAGGGAAAGATATTGTCTGGCACCTTGATCAGTTCCAGATAGGTGCATAGAAGGAAGGAAAGAAGGAAGGAAGGAGAGAAGGAGAGAAGGAAAGAGAAGGAAGGAAGGAAGGAAGGAAGGAAGGAGAAGGAAGGAAAGAAGGAAGGAAGGAAGGAGAAGGAGGAGAGAAGGAGAGAAGGAAGGAGAAGAGAGGAAAGAAGGAAGGAAGAAGGAGGAAGGAAAGAGAGGAAGGAAGGAAGGAGAAGGAGAAGGAAAGGAAAGGAAGGAAGGAAGGAAGGAAGGAGAGAAGGAAGGAAGGAAGGAAGGAAGGAAGGAAGGAAGGAAGGAGAGAAGGAATGAGAGAAGGAATGAGAGAAGGAAGGAAAGAAGGAAGGAAGGAAGGAAGGAAGGGAGGAAGGAAGGAAGGAAGGAAGGAAGGAGAGAAGGAGAGAAGGAATGAGAGAAGGAAGGAAAGAGAAGGAAGGAGAAGGAAGGAAGAAGGAAGGAAGGAAGGAAGGAAGGAGGAGAAGGAAGGAGAGAGAAGGAAGAAGGAAAGAAGGAAGGAAGGAGAGAAGGAATGAGAGAAGGAAGGAAAGAAGGAAGGAAGGAGAGAAGGAGAGAAGGAATGAGAGAAGGAAGGAAGGAAGGAGAGAAGGAGAGAAGGAATGAGAGAAGGAAGGAAAGAAGGATGGAAGGAGAGAAGGAGAGAAGGAATGAGAGAAGGAAGGAAGGAGAGAAGGAATGAGAGAAGGAAGGAAAGAAGGAAGGAAGGAAAGAAAGAAGGAGAGAGAAGGAAGGAAAGAAGGAAGGAAAGAAGGAAGGAAGGAGAGAAGGAGAGAAGGAATGAGAGAAGGAAGGAAGGAAGGAGAGAAGGAGAGAAGGAATGAGAGAAGGAAGGAAAGAAGGAAGGAAGGAGAGAAGGAGAGAAGGAATGAGAGAAGGAAGGAAGGAAGGAAGGAAAGATAGAAGGAAGGAAGGGAAGGAAGGAAGGAAGGAAGGAAGGAAGGAAGGAAGAGGAAGGAAGGAAGGAAGGAAGGAAGGAAGGAGAGAAGGAATGAGAGAAGGAAGGAAAGAAGGATGGAAGGAGAGAAGGAGAGAAGGAATGAGAGAAGGAAGGAAGGAGAGAAGGAATGAGAGAAGGAAGGAAAGAAGGAAGGAAGGAGAGAAGGAGAGAAGGAATGAGAGAAGGAAGGAAGGAAGGAGAGAAGGAGAGAAGGAATGAGAGAAGGAAGGAAAGAAGGAAGGAAGGAGAGAAGGAGAGAAGGAATGAGAGAAGGAAGGAAGGAAGGAGAGAAGGAGAGAAGGAATGAGAGAAGGAAGGAAAGAAGGATGGAAGGAGAGAAGGAGAGAAGGAATGAGAGAAGGAAGGAAGGAGAGAAGGAATGAGAGAAGGAAGGAAAGAAGGAAGGAAGGAAGGAAGGAAGGAAGGAAGGAGAGAAGGAATAAGAGAAGGAAGGAAAGAAGGAAGGAGAGAAGGAATGAGAGAAGGAAGGAAGGAAGGAGAGAAGGAATGAGAGAAGGAAAGAAGGAAGGAGAGAAGGAGAGAAGGAATGAGAGAAGGAAGGAAGGAAGGAAGGAAAGATAGAAGGAATGAGAGAAGGAAGGAAGGACAGAAGCAAGGCACAATGAGACAACTCTTAAATAATTTTATAGCTCTTGTACAGAAAACCTTTTGCAAAAACTGCATCGAGAAAAAAACCTATGTTAAAATAATTGCTGGTATCTGTAAAGCTAATGTCAGTAAAACATAGGATTGTTACATTCACATTAAACAGAAATAATTTGCTCTTTTCTCAAAAGATGAGAAAAATTCCTCTTCACATGTGTGGAAATAGTTCTTGAGTCTTTACTACAAATGAGTAGACTCCAAATCAAGCATGGTAACCATGAACATGAACAAAACCTGGACACCAGTATTGAAAAACACCAGAATCAAGACAGTCAATAAAGAACACCGCTCAGCAACAGGAGAACTCCAGACAGCAAGCAATCAAGTGCCAGTGAACACCTCCCACACAGAGGGTGCCTCCAAGCAACAGAGGCCAGGCCGGCTCTATGCAAGTACCCTCACTTATTGACTTTGAAGCTTCATGGCTACTCAGTGGTAATCAATCATTGCTAATTGCAACATTCACACTTGTTTTGCAAAGACAAGGGTTCTTTCTCCCACCTTGGACATTCCATCTATATAACTAAAAATGTAATGTTCGTTTGTGAGATTAACATAACTCAAAAACCACTGGACGAATTGACACCAAATTTGGACACAAGGCACCTACTAACCCAAGGAGTGATCATGCCTAACAAATTTGTGAACATCCTGCGGCTCCTCCATGATGACATGATGGCAACAGTCTTGGACAGCAATGGCTCCCAAAGTGACCCATTTAAGGTGGAATCAGGTGTCAAACAGGGATGATGTGCTATTGCCCCAACCTTATTCTCCATCTTCATCGCTATGATACTTCATTTTGTTGATGGGAAGCTTCCCACCCGAGTGGAAATCATCTATTGGACAGATGGCAAGCTGTTTAACCTCAGCAGACTGAAAGCCAAAACCAAGGTTACAATAACATCTGTTATAGAACTCCAGTATGCTGATGACATCATCGTCTGTGCACATTCAGAAGAAGACCTACAAGCCACTCTAAACACCTTTGCAGAATCATAGAATCATAGAATCAAAGAGTTGGAAGAGACCTCATGGCCATCCAGTCCAACCCCCTGCCAAGAAGCAGGAATATTGCATTCAAATCACCCCTGACAGATGGCCATCCAGCCTCTGCTTACGAGAAGCATACGAGAAGCCCGGCCTGTCATTGAACATCGAGAAAACCAAAGTGCTCTTCCAGCAGTCATCCAGTCCAACCCCCTGCCAAGAAGCAGGAATATTGCATTCAAATCACCCCTGACAGATGGCCATCCAGCCTCTGCTTACGAGAAGCATACGAGAAGCCCGGCCTGTCATTGAACATCGAGAAAACCAAAGTGCTCTTCCAGCAGTCATCCAGTCCAACCCCCTGCCAAGAAGCAGGAATATTGCATTCAAATCACCCCTGACAGATGGCCATCCAGCCTCTGCTTACGAGAAGCATACGAGAAGCCCGGTCTGTCATTGAACATCGAGAAAACCAAAGTGCTCTTCCAGCAGTCACCAGCCAACCCCTCTCCAATGCCAGAGATACAGCTTAATGGTATAACATTAGAAAATGTTGACCATTTCCGCTACCTAGGCACCAGCCAATCCCTTTGCAATGCCAGAAATACAGCTTAATGGTGTAGCACTAGATAATGTTGACCATTTCTGCTCCTGTGGCAGCCACCTCTCCACAAAAGTCAACATTGACACTGAAATACAACACCTGCCTGAGCTCTGCGAGTGTAGCATTTTTCCAAATGAAGCAGAGAGTGTTTGAGGACCGGGACATCCGTAGGAAGACCAAGGGGCTTGTTTATAAAGCTATTGTCCTCCCAACCTTGCTATATGCCTGTGAGACATGGACTGTCTACAGACATCACATGCAACTCCTGGAACAATTCCATCAGCACTGCCTTCGGAAAATTCTGCAAATCTCTTGGGAAGACAGGCGGACAAACGTCAGCGTGCTGGAAGAAGCAAAGACCACCAGCATTGAAACGATGGTCCTCCACCATCAACTCCGCTGGACTGGCCATGTTGTCCGGATGCCCGACCACAAGCCAGTAGTCACCCATCCTGTATCTCTGCATTTCATGTTGATTGCCTAAGCTTCGTATTGTTACAGTAAGTTGTAGCAGGACCAGCCAAATTGTTCAGATGCCCGACCACCGTCTTCCAAAGCAGTTGCTCTATTCCGAACTCAAGAACGGAAAACAGAATGTTGGAGGACAGGAAAAGAGATTTAAAGATGGCCTCAAAGCCAACCTTAAAAACTCTGGCATAGACACTGAGAACTGGGAAGCCCTGGCCCTTGAGCGCTCCAGCTGGAGGTCAGCTGTGACCAGCAGTACTGTAGAATTTGAAGAGGCACGAATGGAGGGTGAAAGAGAGAAACGTGCCAAGAGGAAGGTGCGTCAAGCCAACCCCGACCGGGACCGCCTTCCACCTGGAAACCAATGCCCTCACTGTGGGAGAAGATGCAGGTCAAGAATAGGGCTCCACAGTCACCTACGGACCCACCGCCAAGATACTACACTTGGAGGATCATCATCCTCGAACTACGAGGGATCGCCTAAGTAAGTAAGTAAGTAAGTTATTTTTCTTGTGATCTTTATACTTATTGTATTGTCGAAGGCCTTTCCCTTTGACACGTTTCTCTCTTTCGCCCCCCATTCGTGCCTCTTCAAATTCTGCAGCACTGCTGGTCACAGCTGACCTCCAACTGGAGCACTCAAGGGC